GACGAGGCTTTTGAACACCTTGAGAAGGCGCGCGCCTTATGGCCCTAATGGAAATTCCCCCCATCCTAGTGCTACTAGTGTGAATCCAAATTGATAAAATATCCCATAAAATTGGAATTTGGCCAACTTTATCATAATCTACTGTTGTGGTACCAGGCACGCGCCTTATGGCCTTTATGGAAATTGGCCGCATCCTAGTGCTACTAGTGTGAATCCAACTTGAAAAAATATCCCATAAAATCGGAATTTGGCCAACTTTATAATAATGCACTGTTGTGAAACCAGTGTGCTCATTCACCTCATGCACACCACCGCGCATGTAATTGGCCATGACGAGGCATTTGAAGTTTTGGGAAGAAATTCTCACGTTGATCAGATCCTGCTAACACTTTGCAGGAACGTCGCACATTGCATATGCCCGTTTTTGCTTGCTTGCTGGAATTTTTGGAACAGTGCCAAGAGTGGGGGATCCAGCAACCACGACAACGCATGGTTCAGCTCGTGCTGCGAGAAAAATTTAGGCTTCCCCTACGGCCGCTGCCGGCGCTTCGGGTACAGTGCCTGTTCCTAACGCTGCTGTTCCTGTTGTTGATAGACCTGGCGATTGCTGCAGTGGCCTAGAGCGCCTTCGCTAAATTCCTCCAGGGCATCGCCCCATGCGTCCTGCATCCAAACAAAAAAAGCGACCGCCACCGAAGATCATAAGGGCTCCATTACATACGAACAGCACTCGCTACAGCCATGCTCTTGCCGCCTGTAGGGCTGTGCTTCCTGCTGCTCCTTATCCGCCGATACCAGCCCTGCTTGTATTGCCGCTGTTGCGGCAGGACTTTCTCCTGCGGCTGCTGCTGTAGAAACAACAGTTGAGGAAGCAGACCCTCTGCTTCTGTCACTCCGCATGCCATCAGAGCGACGCAGGAGTGCTGAGTCCCCCGCACCTTGGGATCCGCTCCAGCTCGTGCTGCCTTATTGCGGCTGCAGCTAATCGCTTGCGCTGGGTCTCGACCTCCTGAAAGAGAGAAACCCTTCGCAAGCAGGTGGTAAACCGAAACCCTAATATCTAAACCCTACACACCAAGCTGTTGCCGTACCGTTTCTTTTTCCTTTGCTTGCCTCGCTGCTGCTGCTGCTGCATCCAGGGCACGGAGTCGTTTATCCCTGGCAGTTGCTGCTGCTGTTTTAAGCGCCTCGCGCTGCTCTTTTTCTCTTCGTCGAACCTGCAGTGCTGCAGCCTGCAGCAGAAGAGCAGCGGAAGGCAATTCCCTTGTTGATTCTCTCTCTGTCTCCGTCACGAGCTATTGCAGCGACAGTTGTTACTTCTGCCATTGAAGCCGTTCACCCCTTTGTGGCTGCGTCTCTGTCTGTCTTTTTTTTCTTTCTCTGTGTGGCTCTGTGTATGTGTTTGCTATTTCTTTCATCTCTACTCTTATGTGTCTCTGTTGCAGCGGACTTCTGCTTCAAGGCGCTGCTGCTGCCTGGCCAGGGCGAGCCTCTCCAATCCCCGCACAAGTTGCTGCCGTACTGCAGCAAAGACAGTAGCAACACCAGCAGCAGCAGCATCGCGGTTCCGTCCCACTGTACATGGAAACTTCTCAAACGCATGCACTCATCCATGCATGCTTGTGGGTAAGAGTGCTTGCACGCATGCATGCATGGATGCGTGAACATATATGCACAAGGCCTTCGCGATACGCAGACGTCCTAGTCTGCTAGCTGGCGAGGTAGCGATCCCGCTAGGTAGCTAGTTGGTTAGCCGATGAGGTGGCTAATCGGCTAGCTACCTAGCGATTACAAACTTATATATGTAATACACGTAAATATGCTTAGCAGGATTCGCGTATTTGTGTATGGATAACTGGGCATATATGTGCATTATATATATATATATATATATATATATATATATATATATATATATATATATATATATATATATATATATATCGAGCAGCTCTATACCTGCTTGTTCAGCCGAGCTTTTGTTGCCCTGTTTATATTCATGGCTTATTTGTCTTTCTATTTGTTCCTACCAGATACAACACCCATGCAGCACACCTTTCGATGTCTACTGTATCCGCAGAGACATCAGCAAGTACACTGCTGCAGCAGTAGCCCACTCACCTGCTTCAGAGCCTCCTGTCTCCTTATCTGCTTCGTCTTTTTCTCTAACAACTGAGCAGACACACAAGGCACTGCTGCTGGTACTTACGCTGTTGATACTTTGGCTTGTGCTGTTTCATGGTGTTTACGGCCCTTCCTGCTGCTGCTGCCCCTCCTGCTACGCTCACTGCTGCTGCCGCTGCTGCTGATTCTGCGTTGTGGTGGTTTTCTGCTGACCCATTTTGACGCTCGTAGTGCTGCGGCGCCTGCTGCACGTATCTCTGCTTCTTTGGCATTGCGTGCATCTTCAATGCGTCTCTCTCTGTACAGCTGTGCTGCTGCTTGGAGCTCAGCCTTGGCCCTGGAACACCAGCATACCAACTGAACTGAACTCCTGCTGTTGCTGCTACTGCCTTGTTTTCACGTACCGATCCTGCGGCTGGTGCATGCACTGTACAGTGGGGGTCGTCTAGCAACTGCGTTTAGTGACTTGAGTGCATTCACTCAATACTAGGAGCAGCAACTGTAGCAAGAGCTGCAATAGTAGGAGCAGCAACTGTTGCAAGAGCTGCAGTGGAAACAGTAGCCAGAGTTGCCGTTGCAGATTGTCCGACATTAACTAGCAGTAACAGTCGAGCTACCAGAAGCAGCAGCATTCGCAGCAACGAAAGCAGTAGCAGCAACTGTCGCAAAACCAGTAGCAGCTGCAGCAGCACAGCTTCATTGCTCCTTGTGTTTTGCTCTGGATATGCGTCACACCTTTCCACAACTTCTGCTGCTCGTTGCAACTTCAGTCTCTGGCTTTCTTTTTCCGCTTGTATTTGCATACACTTCCGTTTGAGTGTCTCCGCTGCTCTCTTCTGCAGGACGCAGCAACGAAAACGGACACAAAGGGACAGCAGCAGCACCTGTCTCCAGTTCGTAAGCCTGCTGTGGCATAGACGCAGCTGCAGCAGCAACAACAACAGTAGAAACAGCAGATGCAACGAAGCTCTACGCCGTTGTTGTTCAACAGACTTTCATTATCACAGCGCGGGTGCGAGTCTCCACAAGAGACATGGAGCTAAGGAAGCCAGCCTCTCTCCACCCGTTGCTGCTACTGTTGCTGCCAGAAGTTGTTGGGTCCTTCTGAACCAGCAAGGCTGCTGTTCTCTTTATGGCAGCAACGACAGAAGCAGCACGAGACAATTCGCGATGTTGAGAGGCTGCAACCTTCTTCTTCAGTGCAGAATCCACAGACAACCTGCAGTAGCAGCAGCAGCAGAACCAGCAGGCTTACCAGTCGTGAAAAATGGGAATTGATCAAAAGAAGTAAAAGCAACAGCAAGTGATGCGGGTTCTGCAGCATAAGAAGCTGCAGCCTGCACTAGCAACAGTCGCTGCAGCACAGAAGGGAATGAATGTAGAAAAAACAGCAGCACGATATGCAACTGGAGGTGCAGAAGCAAGGCACGTGCAGCAATAGCAGTAGCTGCAAGAAAACCAAAACAACCAGAGCATGCAAAAATTAGATCCGTCGGCAACAACAGCAATAAGAACAAGAACGAGAGCAAGAACAGGAACAACTGCGACGACAGCGGCAGCAAGAACTACAACAGCATGTGCACCAGCAGCAGCAACAGCAAGAACAGAAGCATGATCATTTTCTGCTCCCACTTGGCAAGGATTCTGCGGCGTTCGTGTTTCTCTTTGCGTATTGTTTCTGCCCGCCGTCTGTTGCTCTCTAGCAGCTTTTGTTGCAGCACAAGAGAAAAAAGGGACGGAAGACAGCTTTCGTTTCAACACAAGACAAAAGGGAAGACACAATAAAATAAACATAAACTTGTGGGTACCCTCTCAGTGCACTTGTACACAGAACTAGCTCCCTGCTGCATGCTGCAGCAAATGCTGCAAAACATGCTAGAGCAGCACCGGCCGCCTGCTGCATGGAGCAGCTGACGATGGTTCATGCAGGTAGCATGCAGCAGGAAGCAAGGGACAAAGCAGTATCGCCCTTCTACAACTGCAGCAGCTGCAACAGCACCTGTCGCTTCCGAGCCTGGAGCAGTGCTCTCCTGCTGCGGCGTTCTGCTGGAAGCCGCGGAAAGTGTCGCTTTGTTTCGAAGCAGCACATGTTCAGCTCCTTCGGAATTGTTTGCTGCTCTCTTGCTGCTGCTGCTGCTGACGCTCGATCCCTTCTCGCCGCCAGGGCCCTGCGTAGAGCCCGATACCTGAATAAGCCCAAAAACGCTGCAGTGCATTCCTTATGCAGCACAAGCAACGACATTACGGGGAGCAGTATCCACAGCAGCAACAACAACGTTGCACAACACCCGAAGCAACCGAAGCAGCAACAACACCAGCAACAGCAGCAACTACACCACGCAGCACCAGAAGCAGCTCCAGCAGCAGCAGAAATAGAAGCAGCGGCATCAGCACCTGGAGATGCGAGCGGTTGCTCTTCTTAGTGCGACATGTTTCTTGAGATGTTCTCTAATTTCGTTTCTCTGCAAATCCCTCAGAGTGTCAAAAATCCTCGCACCCGCAGGATCAAACAGAGGGTCCTGTTTGCTCTGACTACCTTTGCCCTGCAACAAACCCTAACAAGTGACCTGGCGGGTTCAGGTGGGATTTGCGCTCCAGTAAAGTACTCCTAAGCACTCCTAAATGTTTAGGGTCTAGGGTTTAGGGTTTACGGCCTAGGGTCTCGTTTGTTTGGAGCATAGGGTTTGCTCCGAATGAGCGGGTGTGCAAGCAATGGGAAAGAGCCTTTGCTGGATTTCTGGAGTGGTTGCTATTATGGGTTTAGAGTTTAAGAATGGTAAGGCAGTTAAGCACGTCAAGAAGCTTTGAGGGCGCACCTGCAGCCGCAGAAACATCCTTTCAGCTCTCCAGATGGAAGCTGCAGTTTCGCGCACAACAGGAGGGGGAGAGAGGAGAGGCGGAGAAGAGGAGGCGAGAAGAGCTGTAGAGATCAGCAGACACCTCAAGTGTACGGGCAACTCGCGATAAATATATCTACACAGACAGCTCAGCTGTACACATAGCAAAGGAAGCAGACACGTGACCAACCAGAAACAGAGACAGGGATTAAAGAGAACATCAGCTCTGGCGCATCGTCTGCAAAAGGCAAGAAGGGCACAAGGGGAAAAGCGCGAGCTGCAGCAAGAGCAGTAGCACTCGACTAACGTTTGAAAGTAAATGTCTCTTTAAAGCGTTTCTCAGCCAACAGAGTTAATGCAGAGAGGTTGGTGGGCCTAGAAGCAGTACGGAGGGTGAACGGAACAGGCACTGCAGCAAAAGGAGAAAAAACGAGACAAAGACAAACCGTTAGCTTTTTCGTTCCTTTCTACTTCAATCTACGGAGCAGGCAAATACACTGCTGTCTCCGACACTGCACACCGTAGCACCTGTGATTCTCAGCTTTCGTTGCTGTGCTACACCGTTGCTGGAGCATATCGCCGCCTGCTGCTGCGGCAGCATATGCTGTTGCTGCTGCCGCTGGCGACAATGGTCTTGCAGTGTGTTTCCCTTTGCAGCAGGTGCGTCTTGCTTTTCATCTTTCTCCTTTTGGGGGACGATGATGATGACCCGCGTCTGCGCCTCCAACGACGACTTAGATTGGCTCTCCAGTGCGGCAGCAGCTGTCTCTAGGGGCTCCACCGACTCGTCATTCTTTCCATCGTCACCAGTTCCCCCGCTGTCCCCTCCCTCACTGTTTCCCGCCCCATCACCTCCCCCTACGCGGTCTCTGCTGTGACAGTCACTTCTCTGACTGTCTTCTTGCTTATTCTCTTCCCATTCACCGTCTCCTTTTTCACTTGCTCCTCGTTGATCCTCAGGGCTTGCCTGTTCCCCCGCCTCCGGTGCCTGAAGCAACTGCTGCGTATGGTTGAAAGGAATACATGCCGTGGCTTCTCCTTTTGTTGTCTCCTCTCTCGCTTTATGAGAGCCCCCGAAGGGACCCCTCCAGTCCGCCGGGGTTGTGTGTCTCCGCGAAGGAGACCCTTGGGGGACGCGGGCCCCACCCCATCCAGGGGCCCCCTCCTCCTTCCCGTCTGCGCACAGAACGACCTGGAGCCCTTTCCTGCTCTTTGGGGCCCGTGGGAATCCCACACAGCTCGCTCGAATCTGTCTTAGACCCTCCGCCTTCGTGCCGCCAAGTACTGAGCGAGCACCCATGGGGGCCCGCTTGGGGGGCGGCATGGGGGTCCCTTTCATGGGCTCCTGCTGCTCCACCGTGGGGGGCTCCTGAGGACCCCCTGTTGCGTGTTTTCTGAGGGCTTGTAGGAGAGGAGCCAGTGCCTGCGTGGCGTTGTTGATGTTGCGTAAAATTGTCTCCTCGAGGTATTCGCTTGCATAGACAGATTGCCACTTGGGGAGGATACGCTCGCGGAGACAGTCTCCAGCGGAGAGGAATTCTAAGAGAGATAAAGCTGTGGAAGGGCTGATGGAGGCCTAAACCGGTACACACACACACCAACAGGTAATCCTTATATATATCTGGCTCTGTTGTTCTCACTGTCTCTGTCTCTCGCTGTGAGTTCTTGTTTGCGTCTCGGCTTCCCTCTGCCTGTGTCCGTGTCTCCGTCTTCTTTTGTCTCTTTGTCAGTGTGTGTCTCTGTTATCTCTGTTTCTTCTCTTTCTCGTGAATCTATGCTTCAGTGTCTGCCTTTTTTGTCTCCCTGTCTCTCTCTGCCTCTGTCCCTCATCCTGCGTCGTTTATGCTACAGTGCCTGCAGCAGGCATTCTATATGTCTCCTGTCTCCTATTTTTACTGCTTGTTTCTATAGGTTTGTCTTTTTGCTTTCTTGTTCTTAATCCAAATGCTGCACTAACAAGGAGAAATCGCTGAAAGCACTCGGGGCCGATCTCCGGGAGGAGAAAGATAGCGACGTAGAGTAGCACGGCAAGGCGGAGCTTGTCTTCTTTGTTTCTGCTGCTGCTGGTGCTGCAGCCAGCACGCTGCTGCAGCACGAACTCGTCAACTAGTGGCAGCAGCAGGTGCTGCTCGCAGACCGTCCGGTCTGCCACCTGATACGCGAGAGGGGAGAACGGGCTCGATGCCCCGCTGCAGCAGCAGCAGCAGCAGCAGCACCAGCAGCAGCAGCTCAGGCGCAGCTCCAAACAAAGAAGCGTAGATACAGACACCCCATGCACCCAAGCATACATGCGGGGTGAACCCATTATACTATATCAATCAATACGGCAAACGCAGTATGGATGATAATTGCCCAGCTAAGACACAACAATACATGACACCGCATAGCTCAGTTTGTACATTGCAGTCTATTCTTACGCTTCATCACCTTCCTCCAAAACTGTAAAGTGGGTGTATCGTTGCTAGGTATGGCTAGCTGTTAGGTGTGTGCTAGCCGTGGCTTTCTGTGGGTAGCTGTAAGCAACTGTGGATTGCTGCGGCTAGTTGTGGCTAGCCACCGTTAGCATGTAGCTAGCTGCGGATAGATGTGTGCGGTGTGTGCGGCTACAACTGTATGGGGCTGTGCCTGGCTAGCCGTGAAGCCTGTGATTCGCTGTGGCTACTCATGGCTAGTTGGCTAGTTGCGAGTGATGGCGTCTAAAACAGCGTGGAGAACGTTCCGCTGCCTTTCTGCAAGATGCAGCAGCAAGAGCAACAAGTTGCTGATGCAACTGTAACCTAAAAGCCAACTTATAGGCGAGGTCGGCGCGTCTATACATAGGGTAAAACTCGCAATTTGATTAATCTTGCTGCGTCTCTGTCACGGGTCTTTTCTCCTTGCTGCTGCATCGGCCCCAAAACAGCTGCTGTTGCTGCACCCTCACAGCTGCAGCAGCTACTGCTGCAGCAGCCTCACCCTAGCGTCTCCTCGCACACGGCATGGACACTTCTTGGGTCCTTCATTAGCGCCTCCAGAACAGAAGTGCACTGAACCAGTAACTCCCTATAGAAGGCACGGGAGGCTCTGGGGCCTCCGAGGCCCCCAGGGGCCCCGGAGCTCCCGTCCGCCCCACCGACTGTGGTAAGTTGGAGGCGCATCAGACGGGGTTTGGGTTTTATAAAACTGCCGCTACTTAGAGAAAAGAAGCATCGTACTATTCAAAGGAAAGAATTCAAAATAACTCCCGAGGCAGTGATTAGATATTCTACACACACACTGCTACACAAATGGCGGCTTGTGATTGTTTACTGTTTGTTCCTATGATGCAGTATCTTAATATACTGCATATAAGCAGCTGCATCCATATGATAGAGGTGTCGTTTGCACCATAGGCGCCTTGGTGAACTGTTGAGATACAATACTATAGTTATAATGACGATAATAATAATAATAATGACAACCAACAAGAAAAACGCGAGGAAACAGACAAACACACGTCCAGTCCGCGGGGGTTCAGCGTCGAAGATTTAGGGCCTAGACATTATAATTGGGGTTTGAGTTTCTCAATTCGGGCTTGGGATTGAAAAGTAGAGTTTAGGGTTTAAAGGGAGAGTTTGGCGTTTAGGAGCAAGACAGAAGCCAGTGAGTGACCCTGGCCTGGCGTGATCTGCCCCCCCTTCTGCTCTGTCTGCTCCCTCGAGATGATTCGGAATACATTGACAAGTTAAATGATCTGTTTCAACTATATATTCATAGTAATCACGGAAATACAAACGGAAAACAAAACCGCATGCATCAGGGAGCCCCGGCGAGCGCCAGCATCGAAGCGGCTGGGCGGTCCGTCGTAGCCCGGGGCGCGCTGTTCCTGTTTGTTGTCTTTATTGTTTTCATTGTTTTAGTGGATATAATAGCTTTATTTTGTTTTGAAATTTCCGATTACATACACTACACTTACAAAAGCAAACAATTACGATAACCAACGCCATTGGTGCCATGCCCGCCGCCATACCAAGCCACAGGCGAGCAGGCGGCTGGTGTGAGGGGTTGTTGCGGGGGGGAGCAGAAGGGTTATGTTAGCTGCTGAATTAGAGTTAAATAAGAATTGTATTTCTATTTTGATACAGAGGAAACGTAAACACAACACGAGCAAACATAAACAAAGACAGAGGGGCCGAAGACCACCCTTGTAGCCATTCAACTCACTGACACAGTGGTCTGTTGTAGTGCCCGGGAGCGCGTGTGTGTGCTTTGTTTTTCCTAAATCTGGGCTCTGGAACAAGTGCTGACGGCGAAATAGAAGAAAACACAAAAGCAAAAACTAATAAAATAAAAAGGAAAAAGAGTAACGGAACGAAAGGCAAAAAGGAACTCCTTATGCCCCGCCGCAGCAACAGCAGCAACAGAAGCGGCGGCCTAGCAGCAGCGGCCGCCGCTGAGGCAGGCGGGTGGTGGTTTGGGGTGTACCAGCACCTTTGTGTTTTTATTGCATTATCTGACTACTAAAATCTAAACGCTAAACCCTAAATCCTAAACCCCTGAAGTTCTTCTGCTGCTTCCTAAGGTCTTGTTTTCAACCCCCCTCGCTGAGACCAGCAGCAGCAGGAGCAGCTGCAGCAGCTGCTGCTCAAGAGACAGCTTTCCTGTCCCCTACCATCGCAGGAGGAGACAGAAGAGACGAGGAGCACAGCTCCGTGCGAGCCTGCCCTGCAGCCAAAGGCTGCTGCTGCAGCAACTCCCACTGCAGCAACTCTCGCTGCAGCAACTCTTGCTGCTGCTGCTGCGCAGGTACACCCTGCTGGCAAGCCCACGCCTTTAGAGCGTGCAGGCTCCTGGAGCACCGGTCTAGAGCAGCGGCTGCAAGCCACCAACAACAGTAGCAGCAGCAACACACTCTTCTTTTGCCTTCTTCGGCGTTTTGGCGTTTTTCCTCTTCCGCTCTAGTTCATCACAGGGGCACATTCAATCGAATCTGCAATTATTTGCTGTTGGCCTAACGCTGCCAGAAACCGCCCCGCTCGCTGCGGATCCTCAGGGACAGCCCTTGATTTTTATCGCTTCCCCAGAAGCAGTAGCTGCTGCTGTTGCAGCAAGAACAGCAGCACAACCACTACCAGCAGCAACACCAGCAGGAGGAACAGCAGCAGCAGCTGCTGGAGCAGCACGATGGGTGGGCAGGCATTCCATGTATCCTTGAACTTCTTCTGTTGCGATCTGTAGGGGCTGCTAGAGCCTCTGTTTTCGGGGTGAGAGGCGGGGCCCCGGGGGGCTCCTGAGGAAGAAGATGTTGGATTCTTCTCTATGGGGCCGTTTGCTGCAGGTGCTGCAGCGCACGCTGCGGAATGCTGCTGCTGCTTCTCTGCGTCGTGTGGTGTTGGGTTCAGTTGTTAAGCGGCTGAGCAAGCAGCAGCTAGAGGTTGCAGTAGGTGGGGGGGAGGTTTGTCTCCTTTCTGTTGATATAGAAACGAAACCCCTTACAGATGCGCTGCATGCAGCAGGTTGGGGATGTCTCTCCGTTGTCAGCTGCCACGTTGGCTCTATTACCCTCAAGCTGCCCCTCACCCTCCGCATATCAAGACCTACACTTCTGATACGTATACAGGGCCCCCTACAGGGGCCCGTAGACGGTACAGTACAGGGGTTCCTGCCACCCGAAGCGCCAGCAGCAAATGCTGTTGCTGCAGCTGCTGCTTCGGCAGCAGCTGTCGCTGACGAAACACCTCCGATGCAGCCACAGCACCCCCACCACTACCCTCCCGGGGGCCCCCAAGGGGGCCCTCTGCATTGGGAGGCACCTGCTAAAGCAGCAATGAAACGGGGGAGTTTGCAGTCGATAGCAAGGAGGGCCGCTAGGGGGCTCACCTCTTGCGCAGTCAAGGGTCTTGCGGACACGAAGCACGGGTCAGCATCTGCTGCTGCTGCAGGAGCAGCAACCGCCGCCGCCGCAGCAGCAGCAGCAGGTGGAGGTGCCGGCACGGACGGGTCGTCGCTGGCTCAGGGCATGCATCGTACGTTCACTAGAGAGGAGATTCCTGCTCTGTCTGAGGCCCCCTCATCTTTGTTCTCTTCGGAAGCGTCCAGAGAAGCTCATGCTGCCGGCGACTGGGGGCCCCCATCGGGAACGCCTTGGGCCCCTGTGGAGGGGCCCCCCGTTGCAGAGAGTACCCTGTATGGCATGGAGTCTCTGCTGGCGCTGCTGCGTCGTGCACTGCACAGCGCAGCAGGGGCAGTAGACCTCTCTGTAGAGCTCATCACCATCTGCATATACGCAGAGGAGGACCCCCAGTGTCCCACCCACGGACCCCTGCAGACACCATCGCCAGGGGCCCCTGACGTGGGCCCTGCCGCTGCAGTGAGGCGCTGCAACTCCTCCTGGGACCTCGAGACAGGTGACGGAGGACAACCGGACAAGAGTAACGATGCAGAAGCAACAGCAGCAGCAGACCACATACCAGAGGCTGTACCCTGTGGCTACAACGGGGCCCCACGAACTGCGTTGAGTCCTCCTTATAACAGGAAGCCCCAACACAGCCGGCGGCGACAGTTGCAGCAACACGGGTCAGGAGGGGACCCCTGGTCTTCAGGTGCTCACTCTCTCGCAGGTTCCCCCTGGACAGCAGAGGGGCCCCCAGGGGGGGGGGCCCCAGGGGGGCCCCCAGGGAAAGCTGCGGGGTGCCACCCACGATCGCTTTGGGCAGTGCGTTTGCATTTGGAGGGCCTCCGTGGGTGCGACTCGTTTGAAGGCGGCGCGCAGCTGCAGCTGGGGGGCTTTCAGGTGTCTTTGCTGCCCCCTCTTCCTGTTGCAGCGTTTAGGTCGAGAGGAGAAGATAGCTGGGTTGCTGCAGCAGGTCTGCTGCTGCTGTCCACCAGGGCCCCCAATAGCGTTAATGGGTGGCGGGTGCCCCTTCGTGCCACGGGGGGCCCCCCGCAACAGCCTGCGACAGCCACTGACCAAGCAGTAGGAACGGCGGCAACAACAGCAGCAGCAGCAGCAGCAGCAGCAGCAAGGGAGGGTGCTGCCCAGATCATTGGAAGGGTCGCCTTGCAGACGGGGCTCCGCTCTGTAACGGCCATGCAGTCCGAGGCACACATGAGGGAGTGTGTGTCGCTCCTGCACAGACAGCCAAGTGCTGCTGCTGCTGCTAGTACTCCCGCTACTGCTGCAGCGTACTCGAGGGGACCGCTCGCAGCAGCAGCAGAAACAGCAGCAGCAGCAGCAGCAGCAGGCGAGTGGACCGCCGGCAGGTGCAGCTGCGACGGCTGCCTCAATGAGGCGCGCTGCATGTTTGCTAGCAGCAGCAGCAACAGCACCAACAGCAGCAGCGAATCCTCAGAAGTTCTTTTTGACTATGGCGTTTGTCTCTCTGTCCCCTTAGTGCTGGTGTTGCTGGGCCCGGAGCACCTGCGTCTCCTGCGCCTTATAGGGGAGGCCCTCGGGCTGCAGCCGGGGTCATCGACAGCAACCAGCAGCATCACCTGCAGCAGCAGCATGAGCCGAATCAGCAGCTGGAGCAGCAGCAGCAGGAGCTGCCACACGAGCCCACGCGAGCCTTCGCAGGACCCCCTGTTGCGTTGCGAATCCGCAGCAGCAGCAGCGGAAGCGCCAGAACAGAGCGTCGCTGGCACTAGCAGCAGCAGCAGCAGCAGCAATAGCAATAGCAACAGCAGCAGCAGCAGCAGCAGCAAACGGAGCAACAACATTGGCATGTTCACTCCTGGCAGTAGCATTTTGGCGACTGGGGCTTGGGGCCCCCGTGTACAGCAGGAGGGGGGCCCTCTTGTGGGCCCCCCTCTAGCAGGCTCTGTGCCCCGCTCAGTGTTTTTTGGAGAGGAGGGTGGAGACAGTTGCAGCTTTGGAGGGCCCGCAAGAAGTGAGGGGGCCCCATGGGCCGCCCCTGCTGAGGAGAGCGAAAACCCTCGCGAAGCACCCCAGGGGGCCCCCTGGTGGTGGCGCGCTGCTGCGTTTTGCGCGCTGGTTGACAGAGGGGGTAGTGAGTTTGGGATAGAGTCGGGGATCGGATCCCAGGATCCGGAGGAGTCGGACCTCCCGCTTGGGGGAGAGGTGCTGCCGTTCCCTCCTGTTGAGGAGGAGCTGCAGCAGCTGCAGCAGCTGCAACAGCAACCGCAGCAGCAGCTGCAGCAGCAGCAGGAGCGACAGCGGCAGCAGCATCGGCTCCAAAGGAGGTTGCAAAACCAGGAAGAGCTGCAGCTGCCCAAGGAAAAGGGGAGGCAACTGCAGCAGCAGCAGCATCAACAACAGCTGCTGCTGCTGCAGGCAGGGGTGGAACAGCGGCAACAGCACAAAAACAATTGCTTTTCCGTCGAGAACGAAGCAGCAGCACGGATAAACACGCAGCAGCAGACAGCAGCATGTGAAACGCATCACATGTGTAGACGTCCTCAAACACAGCAGCAGCAGCTGTTGCAGCAGCAGCAGGAGCGGCAGCTGGAAGGGGTTGCGCCGCACCTCTATAGCGGAGATGTTATCGGTGGTTGTCCCGCTGCTCCTGCTGCCGCGGCTGCAGCTTGTGGTGAGGGTCCTTGTGCTGCATACACGCCAACTTTTGACAGCAGGAGCGCAGCAGCTGCATGCTTCGGACGCAGCACAGCGGCACCGGCAGCACCTGCACCAGCAGCAGCAGCAGTGACAGCAGCAGCAGGTGCCATTTCTCCTCGTGCTTCGTTTGTCGTCAGCTTAGCAGTGAAAACAGTGGCTGTTCACTTCGTCAGCAGCAGCAACTTCTGTCCGCTGCTGCTGCCGGACTGCGGCCTGCCGTGGGGCCCCGGCGGGCCCCCCGCAGCTTCTTGGGGGGCCGACGGGGCCCCCTTTGAGGGTTCTCAGGAGAACGCGGGTGCGGCAGACACAGCGCAGCAGCACGAACAGCAGCAGCAGGTGAGTAGCTGCGGGGGGCCCCAGGGAGCGCTCGTACAGGCAGCAGCGCTAGCACGAGAGTTTTGTGTGACTGCTTCTGCTCCTGCTGCTGCTGCCATCTCCACGGAGCAAGTCTTTAGGAAAGGGGGGCCCTGCAGTCTCCTGTGGGCCCCCGTGCCTTCTGCGCATATCTTGTCTCTATTTGTTTCTGATTTGTCTGTCTCTGTCTTTTCCCCTACCTGCAACAGCAGCAGCAGCACCAGCAGCAGCGGCTGTGGGGCCCTGGCTGGTGGGTGCGCTCCTGCAGAAGGGGTGCTCTTGAACGCAGTGCCTTCGGCTGCTCCGTTTACAGGAGCAGCAGCAGCAGCAGCAGCAGCTGCGTCTGCTGCTGCAGCAGATGCAGGAAGAGGAGGGGCCCCTCGGGCCTTAGGCTCGGGAAGGCTATCATCAGTAAACATGCGGACACAGCAGCAGCAACAGCCGCAGTTGACACAGTCACAACAGCAGCTGCAGCAGCAGCAACCTTTGCACGTGCTACAGAGTGTGCTGTTTGTGGGGCAGTGGGCCCTACAGTTCTATGAGGCGAAAAACTCAGGGGCCCCAGCAGCAGAACCGTGGGGCCCCGGGGCCCCCGAGGGGCCCCTTAGACGTGTGTGGAGGAGCTTGCAGCAGTTTAGGCAACCCGCTGCTGCGGATCAAGGAGCAGCAGAAGCAACAGGTGCTGCTGCTGCTGATATGCATGTTGCAGAAGCTTCGGCTGCAGCAGCAGCTGCTGCTGCCAGTGAAGAGGAAGCCTCGCTTTCTCTAGAGTCGGTAGCTGCTGCTTCTCCTCTTCCCAACACGCCTCCGCAGCTTTTTAGCAGTGGCAGTCTCGGTACGTGCAGCAGCAGCTGCAACAACAGCAGCAGGTGCAGCAGCATCTGCAGCAGCAGCAGCTGTAGCAGCAGCTGTAGCAGCAGCAGGAGCAGCAGCAGCAGCAGGAGCAGCAAATCCAACACCGCACCTGCGGCTAACAGCAGCTTGGGGTCAGGGGAGAATGGTTCTGAGGGACTGAAAGAGCTGCTGAGTGGAGACGGCGGTGCTGCACGAGCAGCAGCAGCTAGCAGCAGCAGCAGTAGATGCAACAGTAGCAACACCAGGACGCCAGAAGCACCAGACAGGCAGAAACCGATCAGTACGCCGACGCCGAAACGTCGTGCAGAGGCAAAAAAAGGAGGAACAACGACAACAAAAAATAACAGAGCGGGCAGCAACCCTAGCTGCAGAAACCGCTGCAGCAGCAGCGACAGCAGCAATAGCAGCAGCAAGAGCAGCAACAACAGCAACACCAGCAGAAACAACAGCAACACCGGCAACAAAAACAGCAGCAGAAACGACAGAAAGTGCAGCAGCAGCAGCAGCAGCAGCAGCAGCAGTAAGAGGAACAGAAGAGGCAGCAGCAGCAGCGACAGCGCATTTGAAGAGTCCGTTAGAGAGCAAAGACAAGCACAAGACGAAGAGGATCTCGCCAGCAGAACTGCTGCAGCAGCGTCTAGGATGCCTGCCGCAGCAGAAACAGCAGCAGCAACAGAAACACCAACAGCAGCAGCAGCAGACAGGGAAGCTGCGGATTGGCCAAGTGGAGTAAAGGCCCCTGCTTCATCTGCAAGGGGACGCAAAGGGCGTGGTGCAGCCACGGCAGGAGGGGCAGGAACGGTAACAGCAGCAGCAGCAGCAGCAGAAGCAGCAGCAGCAGCAGCAGGAAGAACAGGAGGGTGGAAGGGCGTCCTCAGAGGTAGACGTTTTGTGCTCAAGGAGGGAGGCTCGAATGCTGCTGCTGCAGCTCCGTCAGCAGGAGCGACGCCAGCAGCAGCAGCAGCAATAGAAACAGCAGCAGATGAGGAGCAAGAGAAGGACCAGTTGCAGCAGCTGGATATTGCTGCTGGCCCCGGCAGCGCATGCAGCAGCAGCAAGTTCCTCTCTCCTCAGTGCAGCAGCACGCCTGACAGTGGCACATCGGAAGAAGTTACATGCCCCATAAGAGTAGCAGGTTCACCAGCAGCAGCAGCAGCAGCAGCAGCAACAGCACCAGCAGCAGCAGCACCAGCCGCAGCGACGGGGAGAAAGGGAACGCGGAAGAGCTTCTTGAAGCCTGGCGGGAAGCAGCCGAAGCTTGATGCTGAGCAAGTGCCACCAGTAGAAACAGCAGTAGCAGCAGATGCTGCTGCTGCTGTTGCTGCTGCTCATGCTGCTGCTGCTGCTCTGCAGTGTACAGGGAGCGACGAGGATATGTGCAGCAACATCTTAGGAGGGGAAGTTTTGGATGACCCCTTTGACACCTTCTCCCTGGCCCAGCAGCAGCAGAGGCAACAGCAGCAGCAACAGCAGCTGCTGAAGCAGGAGGTGCAGCAGCAGCAGCCGGATATGTCAACAGCAACTGAAGAGGCTTTAGGGAATGCGCAGGGCACATACGGCGCAGTGACAGGCGCAGAAATAGCAGCGGCAACGGCAGCAGCAGCAGCAACAGCAGCAACAAGGCTTCTGTGCGGTGCTGCTCCTGAAGCTCGATGGGTTTCTTCTCGTCAGGCGGTGGACGGGCCCTCGTTTGTTGCTGCTGCGTCAGTCCCTGGCAGCAATACTGCAGCAGCCGAGCTTTTCAACTGCAGCAGCAGCAGCAGCAGCAGCAACAGCAGCAGATGCAGCAGGAGCACCAGGAGCCTTGGCGTTCCGCAGCGGGTCGTGCCGGCGCTGCAGGAGCTGACGGAGGCTCTGAACGCTGCAGCAACTGGAGGGGCCTTTGGGGGGGGCCCAGTGGAGTACCAGGCGCACTTGCTGCTGTTTGGGGCTTGGCGGGAGGCAGCAGTAGGCAGAGGTTCTGATGCTGCTGCTGTTGATGCTGCTGCAGCTGCAGATGCTTCTATTGCTGCTGCAGCAGGAGGGACAACGTGCGGTTCGGGGAGACACAGACAGCGAGGCTCGCACGGCAAGAGGCTGCATACGTACAGATGCAGTAGCAGCAGCAGCAGCAACAGCTGCAGCAGCGGCGGTGAAAGCGACTACAGCCGCAGCAGCAGGAGTAGCCCTTTGGGATTCAGACGCACAGGGGCCCCTCTGCTGAGATGCAGGGGGAGTCTGAACGCGCGCTGCTGCCACAGAGAAGAAACCACAGCAGCAGCAGCAGCAGCAGCAGCAGCAGCAGCAGGTTGGGGGGGATATGCTGAGGGGTTTGATCATTCCAGGAGCTCTTTTGCTGCTTCGCCTCGGGGGGAGTACTGCTCCTTCCGACGCCGCAGACACAGCAGCAGCAGCAGCAGCAGCAGCAGCAGTAGCGGCAGCGGGAGCAGCAGCAACAGCAGCAGCAGCAGCAGCACTTCAGCAGGGTTTGTGAAGGTGCCTGAGGAGCTGCAGTGGGGCGTTCATCAGGGAGTCTCGATCACTCCTCTCGTTGCTCCCCCTGCTTTCCGCTCTGCGCACCTAGGTGCAGCACGAACAGCAGCAGCAGCAGCAACAGCAGCAGCAGCAGCAGCAACGGGGGACGTGGCAAGAACGCATTTGACAGCCAAGACCAAGGGAGAGGGGGCCCCTCCTGTACCCTCTGCTAGCAGGGGGGCCCCTGCGTCGAGCGGGGACAGCCCAGATAGACATCCACTTGTAGCGCTGCGGCTTTCTTACTTCTCCTCTCTGCTGCTTCCTCAGGTTGCTGCTGTGCCCCGGCACTATACAGACACCGTGGGGGGCCCCCCCCGCGTCGCCTCCAGGCCCCACACTCCACAGGCTTTGGCGTCAGCAGCAGCAGCAGCAGCAGCAGCAGCACCACCACCACCACCAAACCCAGCTGGTGCTGCAGCAGCGGCAGCAGGTAGGAATGGTACCACCTCGACTGCTGTGCACACTGCACTTCAGCCAGCCCTGTCCGATACAGCAGCAGCAGCTGCTGCTGCTGCTGCTGCAGCAGAGGCAGCCTCTGCTGCTGCTGCAGCATGGGCAGACCTGAGCCTGGAGATCGTCATCGGCCAGCTGCCCATTCAAATCTTAGGGGGCATCTTGCAGGTAAATATTGCTGCTGCTTCTGCTGCTGCTGCTGCTGGTTCTGCTGCTGTTGCTGCTTTTGCTAGTGCTGTTGTTGCTGCTGCTAGTGCTGTTGTTGCTGCTGCTAGTGTCGTTGTTGCTGTTGCGGCTGCTGTCTAGAGCCGTGATACTGTCGCTGTTGCTGTTGTTCCAGTTGGTGCTGTTGCTGCTTCTGACGTTGCTTCTATCCACGGTGTTTGTGCTGCTGCCGCTGCGGCTTACGCTGCTGCTGCTTCTGCATCAGCAGCAGCACTTCATCTGCTGTTTCTGTGTTGATTCTTGTTGACATTGCTGCAGTTGCTGCTGTTGCTGCACTTGCTGCTAGTGCTGCTGCGCTTGCTTCGCTTAGAACAGAAGTGTACGTATCGTGTCTCTCATGTGCTGCTGCTTCGACTCTGCTGCTTTTGCTGCTCTAAGGTCTGCGACTTGGCGTCAGCTGCGCTACTGCCTTGTCCTGCTGCTGGGTCCGATGCAGCAGCAGGCGCAACCGCAGCATCAGCAGCAGCAGCAGAAGCTGCTGCTGGGCAGCTGGCACTGCAATCCGCTGGTGAGCGGCTCCCTGTTTACTTCAGTCTGTCTCTCTCGTGTCTTCGTCTCCACGTCGGCGCCTCCGAGAGTTCAGAGGCAGCAGAATCTATTACAGCAGCAGCAGCAGCAGCAGCAGAAGCTGCAGGAGCAGCAGCAGCTCCAGGTATAGAGCTGCAGTATCTCCACCCGGAAAGTAACACTGTAGGGCAAGAGCTGTTCGACAGGAGCAGTAGCAGCAGCAGCAGCAGCAGCAGCAGCAGCAGCAGCAATCTCCTTGTGGATATGTGCGGGTTGAAGGCTACGTACTGTCCAGGCGAACCGTTTTGGGGAGAAGACAGCAGTAGCAGCGGCAGCAGCAGCAGCAGCAGCAGCAGCAGCAATAACAGCAACGACGGCAGCAGCAGCTGTACAGTCACCAGTGGCGCCCCAGCAGATTCAGACTCTTCCCGAGCCTGTCATGCATCTTTGCTGCTGCAGCAGCACATCCGCTGCTTCTTGCTGTACAAGCGAAAGCAGCAACAGCAGCAGCAGCAGCAGCAGCATCACGACGCTCTGCAGCAGCAGCCTTGGGTGTATCGGCTGCTGTTCTCTACCTGTGTGCCTAGCGACTCAACGCGTGACCCTTCAAGGGGCCCCTGGATGGGGGCCCCTGGGGGCCCCCCAATACAGCAGAAGTTTGCGTGGATGCCGCTGGTACCCATGCTAACAACTCCAGCCCCTTCATTCTCTTATAGGTGTCTCGGCCCGCCCGCCCACAACTCTCGAGCAGCAGCCACTGCAGCGGGAGCATCGTCAGCAGCAGCAGCAGCTGCTGCTGCTATCGGTGCAGCAGCAACTGCTGCAGCACCGCCCCGCAGATGGGATGCTGCAGAGGCGCCCACCGATGAGGCAGGGAGGTGCGCGGACGGGCAGCAGCAGAAAGTGCAGCAGCAGCAGCAGCAGCAGCAGCAGGAACAGCAGCAGCAGCAGCGGGAATGTGAGGTGGCATCTCTTCATGTGCCGTTTGTTGAGGCCTCTCTCGACTCCGAGTTGGCTGTCCCCTTGGGTGACCTGATGCAGTGTGTCTCCTGGGTCTCCAGCGCCTTCAGCAGCAGGGGAGAAGAAACAGCAGCTGCTGCAGCAGGAGCAGCAGCAGCAGAGCAACAGCTACGGCAGAAACCGCAACTGCAGCAGCAACTGCAGCAGCAGCAGCAGCAGCAGCAGGTGCAGCCCCTGTGGAGACGACTGCTGGGAACACCCGGCAGCAGCGCGAGTGTCTCCTTCGGGGCGGTCTCGCTAGACTGCTGCCTGAAGAAACGCAGCTGCAGCAGCAACAAAAACATGAGCAGCAGCAGCAGCCACAACAGCAACAACAACAGCAGGTTGACGAGCTGGCACTGTTGGGCCCCATTGCCTACGGATCTTTCAGCAGCAAATGCAGCAGCAGCAGCAGCAGCAGCAGCAGGATGTGTCTGTCGGTGCAGCAACTGCTCGAGTGGGGTGTACATTGAGCTGGGGAGGTTGTTGTGTTCTTTCGCTTGTCTTCCTGGCGTCTCAGCAGCAGAGGGGGCGGCAGCAGCAGCAGCAGCAGCAGCAACAACAGCAGCAGCAGATACGTGCTGCACGCGCTTGCTGGGGTCAGCCTCACTAGGCAGCATTGCAGCCTTCAGTTGTTCGGAGCCGGTGTTTTACACCTGGAGGGCCTCCTTATATCAGGGCAGCAGCTCCCCACGCGACGCAGCAGCAGCAGCAGCAGCAACAGCAGCAGCAGCAGCAAATTGCCGTGGAGGTTCTGCTGGTACCCCGTATTCCCTTTCAGTGCAGGAGAGAGACTGTGTGTTCTCGGTGATCGTTGGTGGGAGAGATCTCGGCGACGATCCCTGCAGCAGCAGCAGCGACACCACTAGCAGCAGCAGCAGCAAAAGCAGCAGCAGCAACAGCAGCAGCAGAAAGTACATCTGTATAGAGACTGTGGAGGTGAATGCAGAGTGCCTCGTGGGCGTCTGCAGCACAAGGGCATTAGAAGGAGCCACTGCATGTCTTACAGTCCTCGAGCAGTGTCTGGTAGCAGCTACACCCACGCCGCAGCCGCAGCAGCAGCAGCAACAGCAGCAGCAGCAGCAGTTGCTGCCGCCGCTGCAGCAACAGCAGCAGCAGGAAGGGATCACATTTTCGTTCGAGGGATTGCGACTGAAAGGAAGCATATCTCAGAGCTTGTTGCTGCTTCCGCGTTTCTATGAAGCACTGCAACCTGCAAGGGAAGCTCCACCAGCAGCAGCAGCAGCAGCGGCAGCAGCAGCAGCAGCAGCAGCAGAAGCGGTGGTTCAAGGAGGGCCCCAGGAGTGGAAAGAGGGCCCCGAGGGCCCCAGCATGAGGGGGCCCCCCGACGCTAGCGAGCCGGTACTGGACTTAGAGGGCGCGGGCTGGCTGGCAGTGCTGCACGTGAAGGCTCTGCGCCTTGAATCGCAGCAGCAGCAGCAGCAGCAGGGGCAAGGGCAAGGGCAGGCTGGGTGGAGAGGAACGGCTGCAGCAGGAGGTACAGCAGCAGGAATAGTAGGGTCAGCAGCAGCAGCAGCAGCAGCAGCAAGACTGCATATTGGCGTTCACTGCAGCTCATTGGAGTTATATCTTCTGGATGAGGGGACACGTCTCTGTCGCTGTGCTGCAGCAGGTGATGAGGTGTCTCTGCAGCAGCTGTCTCTGGTGCCGCTGCCTTCGCCTCTGATACGAAGGCCCTTCCTTGCTGCAGGGGCCCCCTGGGATGCACTTGCATCCGCTTGCTGCTGCTGCTGCTGCTGCGGCGGCGGCAGCAGCAGCAGCAGCAGCTTCTGGAGAGGGGACAATCGCGCTGCGACCTGCCCTAGGGACGGATTGCTACCAGCAGCAGCAGCAGCAGCAGCAGCAACAGCACACCACAAGGCTCCCTTACCGGCTCTTGTCTTCAGAGCAGATGCAGCAGCTCCTCTGCTTCCCCGCTGCGGGTTGATGCGTCTGTTGGTTGCTGATGGGTCTGTCTGTTCGCTGCTTCTTCCAGCAGCTCTAGGAGTTAATAGCACAGCAGAAGCAGCAGCAGCAGCAGCAGCACCAGCTTCTGCTGCTGCTGCAGCATGTGGTGTTGCTGCAACAGGCAGCAGCAACCCAGGGTCGTTTCGCGGGCTGCTGCGCTGCAGCAGCATGGAAGGGACCCTGTCCCCAGACAGCCTGCGGTGTCTGCTGATTGTCTGCGTAGAGTTGCAGTGTCTCCTTTCTCTACAGGAGACACCAGCAGAGCTGCAGCGTCTAGCGAACGCATGGGAACGTCTCCTCGCTGCTGCTGCTGCTGCTGCTGGTGTTGCAGCAGCTGCCGGCGCAGCAACTGCTGCACCTGCTGCACCAGATGCTGCGGCTGCTACTATAGCAACTGCAGCAGCCGCTGCACGCAAAAACCAAAAGCAGCGGGAGACAGCAGGAGACAGCTCAGAGACACTCCTTGAAAGGGCGTCAGAAGGCATTCTGCAGAACCGCAGCAGCCGGCAGCAGCAGCAGCAGCAGCAGCAGCAGACAAATCTGCTAGAAGGTGTAGACCTTAATGCATTTCTAGTGCAACGGGGAGGCAACAAACATGGGGGCCCATTGGGGACCCAGCAGGGGCCCCCAAAGGGCCTCCTCAACCTGTACCCTTCTGTTGCGCTGCCTGCATTTGCTTCGTCGTCAACGACCCCCAGAGCAGCAGCAGCAGCAGCAGCAGCAGCAGCAGCAGGTACGGTGGCTGCTTCTTACGAGGACATCCCACAGGAATCCAGCGTTTCCCTCATCAGAGACTACGTTGCTGCTGCACCTGCTGCTGCTACTGCAGCAGCAGGAGCAGCAGACGTCTGTCGCCGAAGGACAGCCAACCAGCGCGAGAGCGCAGCAGCAGCNCAGCAGCAGCCGCGGAGGCAGCAGCAGGAACAGCAGCAGGAGCAACTGGGGGGGCAGACAGATTTAAGGAGGCGCTGAAGACTGTATCGGCAGCAGCAGCAGCAGCAGCCACCGCTGGTGCAGCAGCAGCAGCAGCAGCAACAGGGCAGGAGGAGGAGAGTGATGATTCCGAGTCTTCTTGGGAGGAGGCAGCAGACGGAGACACTTCAGGTGTATCTGCAGCTGCCCGCAGCAGGGCCCATGTGTCGTGTACAGCAGCAGCAATAGAAGAGATGCAGCAGCTCGAAGCAACAACCCGAGCAGATGTTGCAGCGCTCTATAAACAAGACAGAGAGGGGCCCCCTGGGGGCCCCCAGGAGACGCCTGCTGCTGCTGCAGCATCTGCCTCTCTTGTCATGCAGACTGAACAGGATAAAGACCAGACTAGCAGCAGCAGCAGCAGCAGCAGCAACAACAACAACAGCAGCAGCTTTCGCGGGTTGCCTGTGGGTGTGGCGGCAACAACAGAGGATTACTTCGGGATGCCTGCTGCTGCTGCTGCTGCATCTACAGGGCCTCACTATTTCTTTGACTTCTCTTCATCTGGGCCGAGCAGCTGCAGCGAGGAAGAGAGCTGGCGTTTGCCTGTGGAGGGGGCCCCCTGGGGCCCCCCCTTGGGGGGCACCTGGGGGCCCCTGCTGCAGCAGCGGGCCCGCATAGAAGACCCCGAGACTGGGCTTGTGCAGCAGGTCCCCTGGGGGCCCCTGCTGCAGCTTGAGGTGGGTACAGCTTCTCTTACATTCTTTCAGGGGCCCCACTTCTCCGACGGGGTGCAGCCGCCCCTGGGGTTGCGGCCTGACTTGCTGCGTCTCTGCTGCAGCAATACCAGCGCTGTTCTCGCGTGCACAGGCAGCAGCAGCAGCAGCAGCAGCAGCAGCAACAGTACTAGCAGCAGCAGCAGCAGCAGCAAAGGGGGATTGCGGCGGTTTTTCGGGTTGCGTGTTGGTGATGTAAGTATAGAAGATTTGGTTGAGGGCTCTTCGTTTGGCTTGCTGCTGAGATACCATGAAGACGAGCTGAGCAGGCCGCGGCCTTCATCCTCTTCTATGCTGCGTGTCTTAGCTACAGAGTACTGGCTGCCTCCTCCTCCACAGGAGCAGCAGCAGCAGCAGCAGCAGGAGAAGCACCAGCAGCAGCACCAGCACCAGCAGCAGCAGCAGCAGCAGCAGCAGCAGCTAGAATATGATGTAGATGTCACCGTGCTACCTTTTGCGGTGTCTCTACACCAATGCACTGTCGATGCTGTTGCTGCTTTCTGGGAGCAGACGCTTCTTGCTGGTGCTGTTGAGCTGCAGCCTTCGTTGCTGCTGCTGGAGGAGGAGCAGCAGCAGCAGCAGTCTGCTGCTGCCTGCAGCAGGGGGCCCCCCTCTTCAGCAAGGGGAGGGGGCCCCCGCGGGGGTCCCCCCAGCGGGGCCTCACCGTCTACCTTTCGCTCGCGGGCCCACTGCGAGAGGCACCACGACCATCACCAGCTCGTCTACCAATACCAGCATGAACACAGACAGCGCGCAAAGCAGCAGCAGCAGCAGCAGCAACAGCAGCAGCAGCAGCAGTCCAGGAGGCGGAGAGGGGCCCCCTCAAACTTTGCGTGGGAGCCGCCGACAGCAGCAGCAGTACCCTTTGATTTCATTGGGTATGGAAGGGGGCCCCCCAGGGTATCCCGCCAGCAGCAGCT